ACATATAGTAAAACATTTAGCTAAAATAAAAAAAAAAACATAAAAGCAATAAAAGATATAAATTAAAATAAACAATATAAAATAAGAGCCGAAAGTAATGATGCCTTGAAGTTACTTTTAAAAATATTTAAATTGGTTGATGATTTAGTTACTTCGCTTAGTGCATTTAAAAGATTAGCACCTTTCCATTTAAAGGAATGTTTGTAATATTCTGTTCTACATCTGTCTAATGACAGTGATTTGCAACTATTTCTTGTAAAATGATTATGATTTTCATTATCAAATTAAAAATATGATTTAAAGTATTCAGGCACATTTCCATTTAAACACATAAATACTAAAGATGATAGTTTAAGGTCAAATACATCATTAAGGTTTAACCAACCAAGTGATGTGAACATTTCTTTAGAAGGCGTGAGGAAATGGGCATTATTAATCTTGCCCCATGTTTTTGGAGCTTAGTCAATTTGTAAAGATCATTATCAAAACGCTTTGACCAGACACTGCTGCAATATTCAAAATGTGGTTGAACAAGTGAGAGATAAAGTTTATTTAAAGTAGATTGATCAATGAAAGGTTTTATATGCTTTAGGATTGAAAGAGTTGGAAACACTTTCTTGGACACAGTTTTCACATGATCATGCCAAGCTCACTGGTCATCAATAACTACACCACTCTATCTAGCTCATAGCCATTAATGTTAATTTTAAAGTCATGATCTGATAATTGGTGATGTGTACCCAAAAGCATAATTTTAGTTTTCTTAACATTTAAACTTAATTTATTCTTTTTTATCCAAAGACAAATGTTTTGTAAATCTTCTGACAATTTTTTCCCAATATTGCTAACACTTTTATCTGTAACAGATATTGTGGTATCATCTGCAAATAATGATACATTGCTATGAGAAATAACTTCAGAAAGATCATTTATAAAAACAAGAAAAAGGAGAGGCCCTAAAATTGATCCCTGGGGTTCACCTACTGATAAACTCATAGGTTGTGTTTATCACTACATTACTGCAGCCAAATGCAAATCTATAAAACATACTCATCATTTTCTGGGATTAAAAACAGTATAGTATATTGGCGTTCAAATTACATACAATGATATTGTTTTTGGATCATTTAGCTTTGATTTAATCGATATATACGGTAACATTAGCAGGCAAGACACAAAGGATTTCAATTTTGTCAACACAATGTCATAAAAAGATATCAACCAGACTCCTGTCTCTATAGTAGAGTGAACATTACAAATTGCTGATATGGTTGCATGTACTATGCGTGCCTCTATGGAATAACAGACAAAAATTGAACAAAATTTAATGATGTACTAAAAGTAAATTAATAGTGAAAGAATGCTTGTCGTTAGATAAAACAAGTCAACAGTGATGTTAAAATAGACAACTAAAGTTTGTTTGAATCAGTTAATACTTGGATGGAATACTGTTCCCGAAACACAGGGTGATGAAGCCTCAAGTTAGCTGAGTGGTCAAGTGATAAGGCAAGAATTTGTCGCTATTTTCGGATTCGGTTATGATTAATGTAGGTTTATATATACTTAGGGTTCCAATTGTTGGATTTTCTCGGATATGGTCCCTAAACTAC